TAATGGTCGAATTCTCTTTCTTGATTCCTTATTAACGAGGCTCTGAAATGGGGATAAGAATTCCATGATGATGATGGTTTGATGAATTCGGTATTAAGAGCACATGAACAGTTCTTGCGAACTTGCAAACACTCCAATACGTAATGAAAGTAATTTATCAGCCCATTGTTGGTGCATATCAATGAATCTGTTCAAAAGAAGCTTGATTCGAATAAACTTGTCATATTCATCGATATTTTCATTGTTGACTATTGTATTATAAATTCGAGCAGCTAGCAATAAAAGCACTGATTTCTGTGTGGATTCGAATTGTTCGCTATCTGAAAGTGACACATTCTGAGCTAATTTTAAACATAACATTTTAAGTGGAACTGTCAAACAGCAGTTTATTTTCTGTGTTTGTTATAACTTTTTTGCTGAATTTAGATTATGCTATCATATGCTTTTGAAATGTTGACTTCAACCAAAAAATTTAGTGATGGAAATTCATACTTTCACGTATGGATTATAATAAGAGTGATTCATTCCTATTTTTCCATGTCATATCCACCGCATTACATTTACTTGGTTTTTCGTTGTCAGCGTGCAAGCTTGTAGAATAAGACAGTGATGAAAGTGTAGCGGATGAGGGTGCTGGTAACCGTTTAGCGGATGGCAGAAATAGAATACTTTCGACATTATTTGCTGTTTGCGTTGAGATATCATTCCAAATTGTTGCCTTCATAATTTTTGATGTTTTTCGCATGATATTTCTATTGTTTGCTTTCGTCGAGTTTTGCTCATTCAGAGCCGTTGCTTCATTGCCTTGTAAAGCCACATGACCTGTTTACATGACAGTTTTGATTCGTTCATTTTCATTCACCATTTTAAAATGTGAATCTGTATCGATACATTGGTATGAATGGACATTTTTGCAAAAAAAAAACTTTTTTTGAAGTGAGTAAATGATCAAGCCTGATTGATCATAATTTCGTCGTTTACTGTACCGTTGCTGTTCTTCGTTTTCAATTGTATATGTATGCTTCAGTGAGACATCCAAATGAGGCTTAGCGAATATAGCAACAAAATGTGTTGACAACCAAAAAGTAACGTCAATTTTCATCTTTCACACTCGAAACAAGCCATTCTTAATAATGAATTTACTCGCATTTGTGGCTGACGGGGACGGAAAAAAAGTCGGGGATCCGAAATTTTGCAGTCGGGGATCCCGAAAACACGACCGGCTCGGGTTAAGTAGAAGACACACTAACTCACATCCACTGAACTTGACTTCGATATCATTAAACATTTATCAACCATTTGCACTGTTGCTTTGCATGCAACAGTTTTAACGCAAGACCACACATTCGGTTTGAAATGTTTAAGCTATACAACTTAGTGATGGATACGAGCGAAATTTCATGTCGGTCGGAACTCGACCGACATCTTTCGACAGTCGGAATTCCGACCGACCGCTGATCGAATGCCATCACTAGTACAAATCATGAGTCATTGTCCCAAGTCGTGAAGGCCTCTAGAGGTCGTAGTTTAAAAAAAAAACAATATGGAAAGAGGAATTCGATCGGGATGATTGCGGGCGAATTCTACGACAGCAGCTTAGCTAAAAATGACTGAATACACGAATAGAATGATTGGGATGATACGCTTTGAATCGGTAAAACCACTTGTAAGGTGTGATGTGCAGTATGAAGATGGAATCAATATGTGATAACAGTCAAATATTTCTGTATGCATGCGCGCTCTGTAGACGGAATCTTTTGCAGATATAATGATTTCGCCGTCAAGAGAATCAGTTTTTGTTTAAATTAGTGATACGCGGATTGCACTGAAGTTTGTATTGCAAAAACAAAACTTTTTTGATCTGCAGTAGTGAAAATTCATTTGCTTATCAACAGTGTTGCCAGCGATGAAACGATCGATCTTGCCAGCAATGATATTACATGAAAGTTCTTATCGAATACGGTAACGATGAAATTTATATTTAGTAACAATGTTGACGGGAACTGTGCACAAGATTTGGTATTAAAAAATTTTTGATCAGTCGAAAATGTGCACAAAAACGTAAATATTTTTTGTTATGATTATGAGCGATGCCATAAACTACCGTTAGTATTCTTATCTATTCATAGTTTTCATCTATTGTGTCCTTTTGCAGTCGTTGAATTTTGCAATCACTGAATCGGAGTATATTAAGCAAAAGGCCCTCATGCAAGTTGTTGGAATGAAGAGACAATTCTATTCGTGAAGAGATCTCATACCGAACACTTATTGATTATTTAGGAAGTTATATCCTGCTTCCATGAAACCTAACTGAAAGCGAAATGAAAAGTTTAAAACTTTAAATGAAATTCAGTTGCAAATTTCGAATTGTTTTGATGCACCTCAGTCAGCTTATCAAATCATAAACAATTTCAGCGTTACTCGTGTGCTGATAATTTCACAAAAACAAATACTTTAGACCACAAAACTTGTTTACATTCACCCCATAAACAGCTCCTCAGCCCTGATAAGGGAAACCGTAAAGGGGTTGGTTAATTTGCAAGGATCGCATACGAAAAACTATAAGATATAAACGATGTGTGCAAACTTGAATAAACTTATTCGAATTATCGAAGTACACTGAAACATTGTTCATACGGAATGCGAAAGGAAGCAAGGGGATGGATCAAGAAATTGTCATTGGTTCGCTCGTTGATCATAGTCAAGAACATCCGCAACGAGACGTAAACATACTCATCGAAGAGAGACCTAATTTTATTTGGTGTGAACGAACTGCAATTGAACAGCAACTCTTCAAGTTTGCTTCCGAATATTACCAAAAATATTGTGAAGAACATTCAGTTTGGAAACGTACCCGCACATTTTGCCTAAAGACGTTTTGCCTAAGGACAGTTTGCATACGAATATTTTGCCTATTAGACAAAATATCCATTAAAAACAGTCCGCGTCTTTAGACAAAGTGTCGTTTGCTAAAACGTTGTTAGGCAAATTGTCCGTTCACGGGTTGTGAAAAGTGACTCGCTAAACGGCGTCGAGCATGGCCGTTACAGTTGAATTGATATAACTAAAGAGAATGAGCAATAATTGTCGAGGTGAGGTGCATAATGACAAGAATAACCACTTTGTTTACAAGAGCGAATTTTATATCAACCATGGAAGACACAAAAAAAATTTCCGAATATTGATGTGTTTATCAACGTTCCTCGTAATTTTCATCAAGTTTCCAATTTGCACTTGAAAGTTTTAAGAGCATGCAGGTTCTCGCAATCAATCAACGAATGCATTTCTTCGGATATCTTTCTCGTACGGAAGAACTCGAGCGTGCACTTTAATGAGACACATTTTATGAAAAATGGACACATTTGCACAACAAGTATCCTTTTTATGAGAACAAAACAGGTCAAAAGTTTAAATATCGGACGTGAAATAGAGAATTATCCCATACACCACACGTCATTAACTTTTTCCTTAAATTCTGTAAAAATACACAAAGAAACAATTCTATTTAACTCCCATTTATTGTTTGGTCTTATTCCAAACTAGATTTTTGTTTTCTTTACATCAGTTGGGTCACACGAACAGAATCATGCATCACTTCAACGTAATCTTCACTAAACCTACACCATCAAAACCTAAATTAGAAGAGGTGCCAAGGCATTCAAATCAACAAACGTGGCTCAGAAAAATGTAAACGCGTATGCCGAACTAGTGAAACTAACGTGTGTGATGTTACCCCAATTGAAATTCGGTTTTTCATGTCATTTTACCTCGCATCCAAGATTTGAAAGAAAACGTTCAAAGATATTGTTTGGATCATCAAGAAACTGAATTCCTATTAAGGCTAATTGTGTCATTTCGAAAGAAAATTGTCTTCACCGACCATGTTGCACCGAAGATAAGCAACAAACACAAGTTTTTGCGTGCAACACGATCAATAAATATAAATTTGGAGACTGTTAAAAGATGTAATTTTAGCGGAACAGATGAGCGAACAGAATACATGAGCGAATTTATTTATTAGCAATAACGAAAAGAATGATTTGCAAATATAAAATGAGAATGCTGAGCATTTTGAACAAGGTTACAATTGAGGCATCGTTATAAATAGAACAACAAGCGACTAAAGAATTGAATCAAGTTTAAGTAGCGGATAGAATTAAGGCGTTTCATTCTGACTGCGATATACTACTGAAACGACGAACGCATAAGATGAACAAATTCAATTAAAAACGCAATTTGACAAACTGAAAATTATAAAGCTGACAAACAATAGCAAAAAGTCAATTCAATTCTAAATGCTCTCGCTCTCATTATCAATTCAGTATCCATGTTTTTAGCACTGAATCTTGACCAGCACTGAGTAATTTTCGTGGACCCAACCATGCGATACCATTCACCGGACTCATTGAATGCGCACCTGCAAAAAGAATGAAAATAAAATTCAATTCGAATGGAAAAATCCAAAGAACTGCAACTGACTGAGAAAATAAATAACATTAAGTGAAAGTCAGCAACGATCTGATTCAAAAATGAATAATAACAATAACAGAAAAATTTGACTGTCGAATGGAGATGATAATACGATCAGAACAGATCAACCCTGAAAGAAGCACAAACACAGAAAATCAATCATCAAGTGAACGAACCTCGAATGATTACTGGATGCTCACCGGTATTTTTCATATCCCACACAATGATATTCGTATCGAGACCCCCAGTGGCAACGTAGTTTCCATCATCAGACCACGCACAACAATTCACTCGGGCCGTATGGAATGTCCATTCTTTCTCAGTGGCAATTGCAAAATCATTTTCTACCGAATACGGTATCACCTTCAATCACCTTTTCATATATACAACGACCGAAATGCTTTTCAGGAATGTAACTGAAGAGGAATTTATTTAACGATATTATATATCACTAACCCTACGAGCAGTGTCCGTAGCAACAAGATGACTACCATCTGGACTCCAAGCAACCGATGTAATAGCACCTAGATGATCCAGTTCTTTTTTCTGTACCAATTGAGTGCCACTTACACCGAAAATTCGTAACTTACAATCCTTCAAAAGGCAATCATTACATCATCCGACAAAGGAAGGTATTTGTATTTATTCAACCACTTCATCATAGATAAGGAACCTGTCCTCCAACGGCGATATCTTTGCCGTCAGCCGTTATCGAGATGCATGATGCTTCGTAGGGAATATCATGAGTGATTGCAAGTTTCCGATTGTTGAATAAATATATAGACTTATGACAAGCTACAACCACTGTTTTGCTATCAGCAGACATCGAGAGTCCACGTGGCTGCGACGACAACTTCATATTATCTGGATGAACACCATCTGCAACAACAAACTTCATAACATCACTTTTTGCTGATTGAAAAAGCATTTATCTTTCTGAATCACAATCGCAGTTCGACTGTGACCTTCGAAAAATAAGTACGCAGACAACAATAATGATCTCTCACATTTTGCAAGGAACGTAAATCCGATTCGAATGATGTATTAATTTTACGTGATAGAGAACCATCGAAAATGCTGTAGAATATGGAAGCAAAAGCAATAAACAAACCAATATCATTAAAAACGTTCTCCGTAAAGGCTATGGAATCATCCCATCCAACTGAAACGAGCATCCCTTCAGCTGAGATACTCAACGATGAGACCTGAAGAAAATATGAGGAACTATATTCACTGATCATGTTATATGGGTATCGAAAACGGTTTCGAAACATCTGCTACATATGAGAAAAGCACGCAGAAAATGTTGTTTGTTGACTGAATGGTTTTAAAGCAGCTTTCAACTGAAAACTTGAGGACAAAAATATAAATACAACAGTGTTCGTCAAAGATTCTGCATTTGAATTAAGATTCAGAATCTGAATTCATAAAACCTATGATCAATTGACAGAAAAAAGGCAATTAAAAACACACTTGAGATTTGTGCACTGGTGGTGAAATACGTTCTGATTCTCCATTGGAGAGATTCCAACGAGCTGAAGGATAGATAAAAATCAACGATTACACTTTTCATGCGATAAATTTCACCAGAAAACTGGAAATTAAATTATTCTCTCAATTTCTGTATTTCGTTGAATCAAGTGAGATACCAGCAAATAATGAAAACATCTAAATACGCAAACGGATGAGTAACTTAATACAGAAATTCAATGATCGATTTTTGATTTAACTGCAGTAAATGGGAAAGTAGAAATACTAACTGATGTTGCCTTCGAAATCGGCAGTGAATGCAGTCGACTTATCGATCGAGACGGTAAGAGCCGTAATTGGTTTGTTATGTCCTTTGATAGTCTTCTTGACAGATTCCGATTCCACATCTAAGCAATGAATGAAACCCGATAGGCTCACACTAAACAAACCATGTTTGGTCCATACAACTGATAGCTGCTGATTTTCAACCGTATTTTCGAATCGAATTGTTCTATAAAGCAGCTTGCAATTGCAAATTGAAGTTGGGGCCATAACAATCAAGGTTAACATGACATATTCATTACGATAGACAGATTGATGAATGAGCAAAAAAAACGGAGATTTCAGTTGAAACTCAATGTTTCAACAACTTTTTCACAAACATAAATAGCACTCAAGTTTCAAACAGTTAACATCTGAAGCGCAAATAAATAGTACAAAACAAACTTGTAAAGCTCCTTGGTAGCTACGTTCCAAATCTTAACTGTTTTATCACCAGATACCGTAGCAATGTATGAGTCATCTGGAGACCAACACAGTCCAAAAACACCACCATCATGAGCTTTGGCTTTACACGATGCATCAACAAATTCATCTTGTTTCTGACCTTCTACTCCCTCGTATAAAACAACCTTAAGTAATGAATAATTTTTATGAAAATGACTGAGTAAAACGTAATAACTTGGATCTGAAACTGATTAAAAGCGCATCTTTAAAACAACGAATGCAGTGGTCACGTAATGAACTGGTGAATATAAATGGAATATGATATTGATTCGAGGACGACATTTGTTCGCAAAAAGCCAAAACTTACCTTGCCATCAGCGCCAGCACTTGCAAATAATGTTCCATTAGAATTATATCGCACTACATGGACGAACCTCGTGTGTTCATGGATTAACTATAACAGCAAACGGTAATCGAAACGGGATAGCAATTATTCTAGTGAAACGAATTTCAAGAAACATAACTGTTCTTGATCACAGAACGATAACGTGCGAGAGAGTAGCCCTATATTTCCATGACCGCAAAATAATTAATTTCATGAAAGTGGAAGATTCCCTGCGAATATCATCAGTTGTGCAGAAAAGAGGATGAACAAAGTAACGTTGGTGATAACGGGGAGGGATAAACTCATAATGAGTTGTAACTGCTGATTATTCAATAAATAAATAAATACATTCAGTAGTAATACAAGACATCATTTTCACGATAATAATGCGATAACACCTAATCAAATTGGGAATGGATGAAAGATATGATCATTTAAAAGTAAAAAATCCGTACCGTTTTAAATTTGAATGGTGGACCTTCGAAGAGAGCGACAGAATTGTCTTCAGACGCACTAACTAGCCGAAATGGTCGAACGGGTCGAAAATCAATACTTGACATTGAACGACTTTGGCCAGATAGATTGCCATTCGAAGTGCCCGTATCGAAGAGAAACACATGACCGAAGCTAAAGTTGACTGTAATCATTAAATATCACTTCGCTATCAGCTGGACATTCAACAGTTCTAATCAGTACTCTCCTCTCTAACTGAATACACAATTCGCCTACCGTTCACGACCCTCACCAACAACGGCCAATCGTTTACTGTCGTCCGACCAAGCAATATCACGAATCGGGCCTGAGATCACCGGATATTCCGCCTTAAGTATATGTGAAGGTTGAGTTGTGTCCCAAATGCGAACCTTGCCAGAATTGTCACCAGATGCAATATAAAATCCAGATGGTGAGAATTTCGCTACTGTAGTCAGAGTAGCGTGCTCAGTGTATATTTCACAATCTTTGATGTCCTGAAACAACAAGGTACATGAAGGTACTTCTACAAGGGTCAAACAGTTCACAGTAAACACCGCAAAAACATACTTCCATATTGCGAATAAAAACAGAGTTGCCATTGCAATAAACAATCTTCTTTCCATCAGGACTTCCACCGACCACCAACGGCAATCCCCGAGTTGTTCGAGGTAATGAAGCAAAAACGGCTTCTAAAAATATGAAAAATTTCACATTCTTAATGATTTCAAGCCAACACATACACTCATATACAATTTTTTCGAATTGGAGCAGAGGAACATTTTCCGAGCAATTGTTCTTCACAAATCACTTAAATTCTTCACACCGCTTGCATTAATTCTTTTCAGTGGGTACTAACTGTAATACTACGCAACTGCAATGTCATCGTCACTGCACTGAATTAACACAAACATTCATTAAAGTAACTTTATCTGATATCTGAATCAAACAGATTAAACAAATGAATGAGTCGAAAATGATAGATAGAGCTAAACAGAGAAAAAGTTACACTCCAATAATTCAAAATCTACGAAACATGGAAATGAACGCTGAGTTGAAGCACAAAATACCTATCAGAAGATGTGCTAATGCAAAAACGGAATGCATACGAACCTTTCCGATATTCCTCGGTTGATGCCATAACGTTACCCTTCGGCTGAAATAATGATTTGATCAAGAGAAATTTGCACACTTTTAATGTTCATGTTCCAACAATAATTCTTTTCACAAGCGAACCACAAGACTTAGCAAGTGAACAAAATGTGTGACGCATAACGGAATGATGTAACGTAGAATACTGCTGAAAAATGGATCACAGGTGATCCTGCACTTTAGATCGATCGTTATAGGTATGCTTGAACACAACAGCTCATGATGCTTCGCTTAACAATGCTTCATTACAGGCATCACAAATATCACACTACGTCAACTTTGCGGCTGAAAAGAATTCAAAGTCTCAACCATTCAATGGGAACTTAGAATTTAAACGCATCAGAATGTGCACCACGTCCGTATCTTAACTTTGACACTCGAAGACTGTTGCATTCTGGTTGCGTTTTCGATTGAATTAATGTAACTTCCTTTATTTCTGTGGCGAAACGATTGTTAGTTATCTTCATCAACTGCCTCCGAAGTGAAGAAGTGCAACTATTCATTCAAAGTCGAACTAAAGCCTACACCAAAACTTGGTTAACGTAGTATTTTCAGCATAGCAAGTGAAGGTTTCGTAACAGAATATTGGGAACACGAGAGCAGTGTAATGAAATCAGACGGGCACACTAATGAAGTTGGTGAATCAACAGTGAACAAAATGAATATGAACAGTCGTCAACACAAGCACTGATTCATCACTAATCGATTGCTAATCATATCACAACAGCAGCAGCAGCTGTTTCATTCCATTTTTATTTGACTGAATAAGTTTTCCATTTGTATCCGCAGAGAATGCAAACCAATAGCTTCGTACGCGTACGACTAGATGAAGAATGGCACAAACAGAGAGGATGAAATAACAATCAAGAAAGGATAAAGGAAAACTATATAATCAACCAATAATTGCCGAAAGATGCATCTGATAAAAAATGAAAGCTCTATCAGGTTCCGTTTCCAGTATGGAAGTCGTCAAGGATTTTTCCAGAAATTCGACCACCCAAAATGTTGCAGTAAATTGAAAATTAAATAACGGGTTTGTTCTTGTTGACATACGCGAGTTTTAAATGGCTGCCTTTAGTTAATAGGCTAATAACTTGGCCTGTAGTCCACTGAAGAGCCCATTCTTTTCAGGATGGTACTGCTGTCATCTGAAGTAATCCAACGATACCAAATTCAATTCATACATTCGAAATTTTTTAATTTGAGAATATTTCAGCCCGTTTTCGAAAGATTTGTAAACTTTAATTATGGCTGTTCTTACAATTAGGAAACCCAATAGTTCAGCTTAGATTGCATGCACAGTTGCAGACAAGGTATTGATGGATCCCAATCGAAGAGTGGGTTTGACTAGAACAAACTGTTTTTTCCATACAGCTGTTTGAAACGTCAAATCAGGAACTCTGTTGGGACAAGAAGCGGTTGTTCTCCGGCATTTGCTCGAAATGAATTCATCCAAAGTTTCTGTTCTTCGGAATGATTTGCGAATGTTGGATACCATTTTCAGTATTATTGCAAAAGATCTTGTTTATAGAAAACTTATTTAAAAATTTTCATAACCTTTCAAATGAAGAGGTGTGATATTCATGCAATTGAGTGTTTCAACTTGACATATGGTGATAATTCGATAGAGTATTCTCTGAATATCAGCAAAAGATCTACATTAGGGTTTGCAAAATCTCGGCCATTTTTCAATCTCGAGATCGGGATTTAATCCCGGGATCGAACAATTTTTGAAATTTCGATGTATGACGTATTTAAACACATTTTTTGAACCAATATGATCATAATTAATCAGAAAAGAGTGTATGCAACAAAATATTCAACACATACAGCACATTCAAATCAACAAAAGCAACAGTTATTCCAAATTCAAACCAATAGATACCGATAAAGAAACAACATTGTGAATTCAATCGTAAAGCAACGGCAATCGTCAATTGACTAGTTCAGTGAAACGTGAATAAACGTTACGGACTTTTGGGAACTGAGAAACTCTCTGATAGGATGTTACAAAAAATGTTTGCAAAATTTCGTTATCGAATTGTGATCAGTACTCGCCTAGTTGATAGTCAATATGATTCGTTCTGACTTCATGATTAAGATGAATCCTTATTAGGCTAAGTCAGCTCGTTAAAATGAAAGAAGCAGCGCACTTAAACACACTTTATAACCAGGGTGCTGCCAATTCTGCTTTTTGAATGAATTCTTTAATTCTATCATTTCATTCGTTTGTAACGAATGTTGTGCCCGCAAAATGATCCATACATGCATCTGTGATAGCGTGTGACTTCGGAGTTGGTTAAAATTCTCTCGTTGAATCATCCACTGATTGTGAGTAAAGAATAATGATAATAAATATAATAATTGCAATGATGATAATGATAGTAACAATAATAATAACATTAAAATGTACAAATATAATAATAAATTTAATAATGATAAATATAACAATAATAGAGCAATGGTAATTTATCTCACTGCAGTATTCAAAGAGAACAGTGTAAAGAACAGCCAAAGTCTGTTGAAAACTGTTCTATTCTGTTTTTTTGGCTCAAAAACGGCTCTATTATGTTTTATACTGTTCCTCTATTCTATTCCATGAAACAGAACAGGAATAGAACAGGATAACTGGAATAGAGACATCACTAGTCAGATCA